TGGCATAAAATGCAGAATTGAATTCAATGGACGAGAAGGTCCTTTCTAACACGCCTCCATTCCATAAGGGCATTTAATAATTTCCCAGAGATAGGACATCCATGATGGCTTGGGAAACCTAGAAGAAGGAGCATTAAATGCTTAGGAGCCCAAGCATTTAATGTATGTGCTTAGAAGGAAAAGCATTTAATAATAGGTCCTCCCCCACGCAAAATAGGAGGTGCTTTGTCTGATGACTACGCACTACCTACTTCCTCCCAAATGGAACAATGAGGGACCTCCTCTTGACATGACTCACCTGTCAGTAATGATGACCCATAAATGTATAAATAGTTGCAAAAAATTGAAAACAAAGGTACGCAAATCCAATTCTCAGAACATACACAGTGCTTTTCATCCCCCTCTCTCAAAGAAACTGACCTAATCGTCAAAGGAGATACGTCGAAAAACACTTTAGCGCCCTTCTAACTCTTCTTTTGAGTGCCAAGGTTTAGCTCATTGGAATCGATTGGACAACTAGAAAACCAGTTCATCACCATTCCTTAGGCCCTTTCTGGCCTCCTTTTGCCATGGGATTATCGACTTTCGAGGTAAATATGAGTTCACCAATGGAGAGAGCTATCTTTTTATTTATTGTGCAAAAATCACCGCACACACCCTCCAAAGCATCGCAAAAAGGAAAAAAAACACTCATTATGTGTTATGTATGATTATATGTCAACATGAACGAACAAATCTTGGCATAATAAAAGTTAAGCATGACTCAAACCCCGTCACAATTCGTCTTAGTGTTAACCTACTTAATAGTATCTTGAAAAAACATGGTATACTAGCTTTTTTAAAGCCTAAGTTGTCTTATTTCATTTTGACACTTCTTTATTGATTGTAGATCAAGGATAAAGTAATCACAAAGACAAGACTAAAAAGGTTAAAAAGTGGTTAAATGATGTAAACTGAACCTATAGACAAAAAATTAGGTAGCTCTTACTCTTTAAGCAACACTAATTTGGCTGATTGAATTGTCTACTTGAAAATGCAGTAACTAATGTTGCTTAGACAATTAAACCAACTGAAATTTACTCTAAATAAGTTCAATTCCATCAGTATAGAGGACTTTGACTAGGACACTTAACTTTCTCTCTGATATCTGGAAGGTCACTCACAAAAAGCACCCTCCAGTCAAAGAGCATTCTTTTCTTTCTTTTTTTGGGGTGAATAATATAAAGATACTTCACTTAATCTGATCTCAAATTTTCTCTTCTTTTTTTTTTTTTGTGAAAAAAGGCCTCAAGTATACCTAAACCATACTAATTTATCCAGACTTTTTTGCAACAACTCATTATTGAATTCACGGTCCCGCACAAATGATGGAGCATGTGGTTTCAGTTGATGCAAAATGAAGAATCTTACTGGAGCTTGACAAGCCGCGAATTCTCTTGAAAGAAAAGGGTATTTTCGGAAACGCAAACACAAATGGGACATAGTTGTCGTCAAACTCCTACTGTAAAATATTGAGTTAAGTTCCGCAACGAAGGCAACTCCGTTTTTAATTGCGATCGTTGAGTTTAGAATTTCGAAGAGATAAGGATTGTGAATAAAAAGTTGTAATGAGAGTCAGAAGGTCACTTTTAGCTCTCATCATATATGGCCCACTATAACTCTCCTTCAAATGCAAAACAACTATGCTTCCCTTGGATGCTTCCTTGGGTTGTCGGCAATGTCTGCTGAGCTGTTACTACATAAACAAAAGGTAGACAGAAACTTGGCTATCTCGTATTGGTCAATGCCACTTCTGTCCATTTCTGCTATGTGTTATAAGCAAGGCCTTTTTTTTTTTTTTTTTTTTGGGTAATACTGTGCTGATCAAATGTTGGGATCAAATTTAGAGTTTAAATGATATGACAGTATATTATTTGAAATTTTTATTGGGGCCCAAATGACATGGCACTAAATAAAAAAGTCTAAGTCAACTGTCATGTTATTTGGACTCTAAATTTAATTCCAAAATTTAATCAGTGTAGCGTTACTCTTTTTATTTTCTATACACAAACGACACACCATGAACAACCCCATTGATAATTCAAAAGTTCTAAATTTAATTGTTTCTTATACTCCCTAAGAACCCTTCAATTTTATTTTTCAAGAGCATGCTTTTAACTCAATTTAATCTATAGCGACAATCGTTAAATTAGAGAGAATAGTAAATATAAATGTAGATATTTTATAACCAAAAAAAAAAATACCCCATTGATATGGGTGTGCTATTTCGACTTCGTATATTCAATTTCAATTCAATTAACATAAATACTAATTTTGAATTTCTCAAAACTATCTCTAACTTGTTTGTTAGAGAGTGAGTTAGGCATAGTGAAAAAATTGTTTCATTATAATCTAGATAAATGATTTAAGTCACAGAAATAATCTCTCTCGTGAAAGATAAGACTGTTCACATACTAGTAAAGTCTGAAATTTTATAATGATGAGAGTCTAATACATTAAATCATCTTTATTTTATCTCAATTAATTTAGTTATTATGTGGCGTTTGGTTAACATGAACAACAATTAGAAACCCAAGCATATGTCTCTCTTAACCAAACTGATCACAATCAATGGATTATCCATACTTTAAAAATTCGCCCCATCTAGATACTAATATTGTCAAAAAAAAAAAAGAAATTTATCTTATTATGTGAAATTAATGAATTATTAGCTCAGAAAATAATTTGTAAAAAAAGTTAGAGGCTTTCTATATCAAATGTGTATGTCATGTCAAAATCAAGTAATGCACTTTTGACAATATATCTGATTTATTATTGTATTTATAAGTCATATCAATTTTTAACTTATAATTTCAATTCTAATTTACTTACAATTCTAATTTACTTATTTCATGTCGGGTTTCTACTGTTTAAAAACTATTGCACTCCTTAGCAACACCCTCCCCCCCCCCCTCCCCAACCCCATGCCACCCATTGTATATATCAGTCATAACTTGTTTTTAAATACACGATACAACGTAAAATTTAAACACTCAAATAATCGATCATATTATATAAAATAATATTTTTTTATATCCATTATTTTTTTTGAAATGTGACCAAATTTAGAAAACCTCAATAAAATATCCATTATTTTTTTTTATATAACCTCAATAAAATATCATTATGTATACATTATCGTATAAGAATAATGTCTAAAATAAAAATTGTATTGAGTGATAAATAATAAAAATTTAAATAATTCAACTTGTAATAGAAATTATTGGTGCCAAAAAAAAAGATGGCAATAGAAATAAATAATGTGATATAAATAAACAAGAACAATATAAGGATAAATTTTATTTTTTGGTTAATCATAAATTATACCTCGAAAGATAGTTCAAATTTTAATTTGTACCCTCAAAGATCAAAAATCTTAATTTATACCCTCAAAAATATAAATTTGAATCAATGCACACTTGAAGCTAGCAGTCGTCAAATTGCCTTCTAAAATTAAATAGATAAATTATACTGAGACCCCTCACATTTGAAATATTATACCTACATCCCTTGAGAATTCAAATATGACTAAAAATGTTCCCTCAATTGAGCATCCAAATAATTGTGTTCAAATAATGTATTACATTGAATATAAATAACATTATATAAATATTTGTATTATATTGGACATTCAAATGGTAAGCTTGATTTTGAACTTTAGAGTATAACTGACCTACAAAATAAAGGGCTGTATGAAAATTATAATTTTTTATTAGGATGAAAACATATTTTTTAACAATTATATTAATAAATATCAACGAGAATGGATTATGTGTTACACGTATACAAACGTCAGAAGGTGTAAGAGTAATATTCTAAATGTGGGATCCAAATGATTAAGTAACGAATTTGAGGTATTCTAAGAGTGTGTTTGTTAACCCAAATTCAGCGCTTAAAATGAATGTATTCAACACTTATCAATTAAACCCGTTTAATAACGAAAATTTAAACTCTTTTAATATGTTAAGTGCTCCTTAAAAATAGACTACAATATTAAGTAGGAGATCTCTTACTTAGTTTTGAAAGTTGAAAGTGCTCAGCAAAACTATATAATATGACAATTATATCGTGAAATATTTTACAATCCTATTAAAACTCTAATTAGTCATCTCTTCAAAACCCCTAACCTATATATTCTCCTTGTCGATCTCTTTTTTTTTTTTTTCTTTCTCTTGTCTTCTATAACAAAAATATACATACATAATTATAATTACACACACAAATGCACACATTGCACACACACAATTACACACAGACATATGCACTGCACACACATATATTTACACACACACACGATGCGCACACATATTGTTAATGAAATTTAATTTATTGTATTTTTTTAATATTATTTAATTATTTATTAATTATTGTTCTTTTTTTTATTAGATGTTATTGTCCACTTATAATGTTATTCAATTTGTTATTGTTCACTTATTGTCTTATTCATATGTTATTTATTTATTTATTTTGATCAAATATTTGTTAAATGTAGACTACAATATAATATTAGTGATTATGATTTATGTTATGACATATTTTATAAATATTTTCAAATTAAAGAGTGGAAGCGTAAAACTGAAAATTAATTTATTTTCAGACGTCAGCTCTATGTAGTTATCAAACTGTTTAGTTCAATTCAATACTTAAATTTCAATGAATACCAAATAGTCCATAAATTCAGATTTCAGTTTTCAGCTTTCAGACTTTAGCTTTCAACTTTTAGACTTCAGTTTTCAGTTTTATTAAACACCGCCTAAAGATAACTTACCCAACTAATTTTAGACAGCATACTAAGAATTGTTACTTTCAGGTGCGTATTGATATAAATTTATATCTTTGAGGGTACAAATTGAGATTCGATAAATCTTGCAAGGTACAATTTGCAATTAACCCTTTTTTATAAAATTCAAATGACTTTATTATATGTAGATAGTCCCCGCGAGCAAGAGCTATCCAGCCTGCAAGTGTGTCGGCAGAAATGGGTGGTTAGCTATTGGGTGTATCTAATAGAATTTGTTTCCCAGAAACTAAAAAAGCGGTTAAATTTTCTCAGCGGTTAAATTTTCTCGGAAAGTTTTGTTACAACAAAGATGATAAAGAGAAGACTGAATTTCAACGGAAGAACTGCGGGAAATGCGGCGGCGAAGACTTCATCAGTTTCTAAAGACGAAGAGGTGGAATGGGAGATGAGACCCGGCGGAATGTTGGTGCAGAAAAGAAGTGATAATTCCGGAGTTTCTGCTCCCAATGTTCGTGTTCGGGTGGCTTATGGTGCAGTGCGGTTCGAGATCTCGGTGAACTCTCGGGCAACTTTTGGTAAGTCCAGATGGATCTATCTCTGCAAGTTATTTGATTTTGTTTCTGTTTGGTTGTCGAGAAAATGCAGGAAAATAGATGAACAATGTGTCCTGTTTGTTTTCTTGGTAGAAACTGAAAAGTTTGTAGATTTTGATTTGTGTTTCGACCACCATACTAACTCCAAAGTTTACTTTCTAACTTTTATTCTTTTGAATCTAATAAACTGTGTCATATTAAATTTGTATTATGTGAGAATTATATAAAATTGCTATATAAACGAGTCACCCGTATTTGTTCCGATTGATTTATTTAAGAGTAATGTTATTGAGACATAATTTGAGGATATAATTTGAAGACATAATGAGTTGTTATCAATAATATAATAATAAATTCATTAATGCTACAATGAGACCCATCATTTAATATATTTCACTATTATTTTATTGGTGACAACTCATTTTGTCCCAATAGCATTAGTGTTTATTTAATCGTGTTACCCCTCGTTTATGAAATAAATTATTTCAAGAAGAGTCAAATCCACTAATTTTATATTATATTCGTGTTGTGTTAACAGATTGTATCATATTTTAATACCTAATTATAAAGAAAGATAACAAAATTCAAACCAAAATAATGACTTTAAACTGCAAATATTTATCAAAGTCAATGGCTATCCTCGGATCAACTTAATTATTTACATATCCGACCAATAACAAGCAAATGTTCGATTTTAAAATTCTTTTTCATACATATAATTAGGCATCACACGATGACAGAGTTACTATTGGGAATATGACCATAATGCCTTACTAGTTGCAAAGTTTTTTTTCTTTTTTACCGGTATTTACATGAAGAGAAAGATAATGAGGTTCGAAGAGCGAACAAATTACAGGGCGGGTTATTGGGTAAACCATTGCAATTAGTTTCCATGTTTTGTCATTCTTTTTAAGGGTAAAATTATAAATTTGAGTTGGGTTGGCAACTGACAGGTGAATTGAAGAAGCTTCTGACGGGGGAGACAGGGTTAGAACCTGTTGAACAGAGACTAATTTTCAGAGGAAAAGAAAGAGAAAATGGGGAGTATTTGGATATGTGGGGAGTCAAAGAGAGATCAAAAGTCATACTAATCGAGGACCCAGAGAGCAGAGAGAGGAGACTCATTGAGATGCGTAGGAAAGTTAAGATCCAAACCGCACATCGCCTGATCAATGACCTGTCCATGGAGCTTGATAAGCTTGCCGAGCAGGTGAGCAAAAAAAATGAAATGTTTTTTTTTTTTCCAACGGTTTTGTTTGTTTTAATTATAGTCAATTATCCAAAATTAGTTTTTTTTTGGGCAAAATCCAAAATTAGTTTATTTAAGGCTAATTTCACTTTGCATCCGGAAAGATACTTTGATATTTAATTTGCTCAATTTACGATAACAATATAAACCTGACCCAGACTGTCGTTTAATTTTTCCCCATAAATTAAAGCACGTGAGATACAAGTGCTTTGGGGATGAAGATGAGGTATGTCCATTGATGCAAATCTTCGTCTGCTATCAATTTGACACCATTTTGTGTATCGAAAATAAGATTGCATTAATCATATAGAAGTTAACCATATCATGTGTAACTCACATGCAGCTCCAACAATCTATGAATTTACATACAAATCCATGTCCAAAGCACTTGAAACTCATGTGCTTTAATTTATGACAAAAAATTAAACAGCAGTTTGTGTTAAGTTCACATTGCTACCAATTCATAATATTGAGGGGTGCAAATTAAAAATAAAAATATTTTTTAGGATGTAAAGTGAGATAAACCCTTTATTTTATCCCATTTGATGGGTGTACGGAGATTTCACTGTTATTCCATGAGATCCAAAAGAATCACCTTAATTTCAAAAGTTGGTTCAATAATTTCGAAATTGTGGTTTCAAATCAAATCTAACGATAACTACTTTACATAAATAATGTCAAATGTGTTCGTATCTAATTTATCTCTTCATTTCTTTTTTTGATAAATTATCTATCATGTATTCAAGTATGATTCATTATATATAAGTAAATTCTTCATTTATTAATAATGATTGATGTCCCAATAAGAGAATCGAAAAAGAAAATATATTAGAGAAGATAAATTTTACTAAGTTTTTGCTAGTCGATTCGTTTATTAAATAAGTTAGAGTGATGAAATAATTAAAATTGATCCGAATTGACAAAATTAAGACAAAAAGGTGGGTGACAGGGCAATTCACTTTTAGTGCCCAAAAAAGCTGTTAGTGATGTTGAGTGAAATCACCAATACATTGGGGGGGCTGGGGGTCCATTTATCATTGGCTCTAGGAACTTGACTGAAAACCACTGTTTTAAGTTGGGCCTTGTGTACCCACCTGCTGCTTTTGTTTATTATTTGAAGTTGATTCAACTTTGCGAGAATTATGCTCTTTTTAAGTCTTGAAAATTTTCAATTGATCATTTAGATTTGTCGATATTTAAAGTATTATACACAAGTCTCCTGAACTTTGTACGTACATAATATTTAAACTCTGTCGTTAAATATTAGTTAGTATATCTCTTATTAAATTATACTTAATTCTCTGAAGTTTATAAGCATATAATACTTAGACCCCTCAAATTTAAAATATTATACGTAAATAAAAAATATTTTAATTAAAAATAGAATATCAAATATTTTAAATTTTAGAACCAAAATTCATGCTTTATTGTATTATTTATTGAAACAAATTAAAAAATAAAAAACCAATTTTTTCTTAAAAAATCATAACTAATATACAATTATATTATCAATGGGAGTAAAACTTAAAAATCAAACAAAGGGTTTAAATCATTCATAATAGAATATGAATTTTACATCAAAAATTTATGTTCTATTATGTCATTTATTAAAAAAAAAATCTAATTTTTCTTAAAAAATCATAATTAGTATACAATTATACTCTCTATTAAAATAAAACTAAAAAATCAAACAAGAGGTCAAACTGTAAATAAGACAATATATTTTAACTTTAATTAGGGTAATTTGGTAGTTTAATTTGATCGTTTAACCAAATTATTAAATTCAAATAGATAGTATAAATTATACTAATTATGATTTTTTTTTTTTAAATTATTTTTAATTTTATTTCAATAAATGTCATAATAGAATATGAATTTTACATCAAAAATTTATGTTCTATTATGTCATTTATTAAAAAAAAAATCTAATTTTTCTTAAAAAATCATAATTAGTATACAATTATACTCTCTATTAAAATAAAACTAAAAAATCAAACAAGAGGTCAAACTGTAAATAAGACAATATATTTTAACTTTAATTAGGGTAATTTGGTAGTTTAATTTGATCGTTTAACCAAATTATTAAATTCAAATAGATAGTATAAATTATACTAATTATGATTTTTTTTTTAAAATTATTTTTAATTTTATTTCAATAAATGTCATAATAGAATATGAATTTTTGTTGTAAAATTTAAAATATTTGATATTCTATCTTTGATTAGAATATTTTTTATCTAAGTATAATATTTTAAACTTAAGGGGTCTAAGTATTTTATACCTATAAACTTCACGGAATCTAGATGTAATTTACTAACGGATATACTAACAGAGATTGACGTCAGAGGTCTAAGTGTTACGCGTGTACAAACTTCACAGGGTCTGTGTGTAATATTTCAAATGTCAGGAGACATGAGTGATTAAGTAACAAACCTCAGGGGTTTGAATATAATTCTCCTTTAAACTTTTGTCATCTTTATCCATAAAAATTAAAATTTTCATCTTTACCCTTAAAAGTTAATTGATTTTTAATTTTCATATCCTTAAAAATTAATTTTTATCCATTTCATTCTTAAATTTTCAACCAGTTTTAATTCAAATCATTCAATGACATTCGACAAAATCTTGTCAAAAAATTTCACACAATCTAAGCAAATTAAAAATAATTTTTTCAAAAAACTAAAAAAAAAACTTGATTAATTGCTATTTTACAAAAATAATCTATATGCATTTTGCTGAAAGTAAAATATAAAAAACAAACATTTCTAAAAACGCGTTAAATAAAAAAAATACTTAAAAAGAAATTATGATTATCACCCAATAGCTATTACTAGATGTGGAAATTTCATTCATGCTCCTGTTCTATAGGTTTCTGCTATTGAAAAGTCTATTGGAAATGGTAACAAAGTACCAGAAGTACAGATCACCACATTGATTGAGATGTTAATGAGACAAGCCGTGAAGATAGATAGCATTTCTGCAGAAGGAGATGCATGTGCTCGGAAAAAATTACAGGTAACTCCCCATTTCTTGAATTTTTTTTTTTTTTCATCTTATTAACTAGATTAATATGTGAGAATACTTGAAACTCCACTGGAGTTTAGGGCTGGCATCGGGCTGACCCGGCCTTCGATTGACAACCATGTCCTCCTAGAGACAGGGCTGGACCAGCCCCCAAAGAAAGGTCGTCCCACGGCCTATCTATCTGGCCTGTCTTAATGAGCTTCAAACGGCATGTAATCGGGGTTTTGTTTTATTATTTGGTGGTTCGAGGGGGGAGCCAGAATGCAGGTGGATTCGAATCTTCTACATTAGTTGAGGAATAGCAAAACGAGCTCATTTCATATTAAAACAATATCATTTTATTAAAAAAAACAAAGTAATTTTAGTGTGAAACGATATTGTATTGATGAACAGAATCTCTGTTGTACGGCAGAAGATCCAAACTAGAACGCGAGCCTACCAATGGATTGCCCATGTGGCAGTAAAAGAGGCCAATCAGTCGGGCTGAGACAGGCTAAAACGCGGTTGACACTTGAAAGTCCTACCTACGTTATACCTTAATAATGAGTAATGTTATGTAATATAAATTTACAATTTAAATTTGTATCATAAATGAAAGAGGATCATTGGATCAGTGAATCCATTTAAAAAATTTCATGAGATCCACTTATCTAATGGTCCCCCTTCTTTTGAAATACAAATTTGGGTTATAAATTTGAGTTACATAATATTTCCTAACAGGCTGTCTGCCCGTCTCTCTTGCAAGTTGCAAGTAGTGATGTGCTGTCTGTATTCAATTTATGCTTAAAACTAGACTTGCTTGTTCGGGTAAATTATAATTTACTCCCTTAGATTATTATTTTTATTTTATTTTTTTTATGCCCTCAATTATAAATTTGTTTACATTGCACCTTAAAGTATCAATTTTGTTTTATATCACTCCAATTATAACGAATGTAAATTTTTTGACAATAAATACATATGTGAGTAGTCTGTACTGTCAATAAGCAATTCGTTTGAAAGCATAGTAATTACACATATTCATGTTCCTAATAGGTTTGACAAGATTTATGCTAATTGTGAACTACTTAACATCATGCTCCTTTTTATCGAAGTGCGACACTAATGACGTATAAAGCAAATATTTTCAAATTCTTAGCACAATTTTCGGTAGAACTACAATACATTAGTCATTAGCTCATCCACAACTAGCATTCAAAGTTTCAAATTGAAATGATGAACAATGGAAGCTCTGCCCTATCTTGCTCACTGGTTTCCTTCTTGTACTTTGACCTCAGTTATTTTGTACGAATACTTCGACTACCATGTCCCTTAAATCAGTTGTTGTTAAACTTAATGGTTTTATTTGCAGGCCAAGAGAGTGCAGAAGTGCGTCGAAACCCTAGATGTGATAAAGTTATCGAATGCTAAAGTAAAGCCGGTTATTGTTGCAACCAAATGGGAAACATTTGATCCTCCTCCCACTACAGCTCACTGGGAATTTTTTGATTAATCCACTCCTTTTCATGTTACTAGTATATACATATGTGTTTTACCTCGAGATTTCACTCGGGATATACATAAGGGATCTATCCTACTTGTACTTATATCCCATCCTCCATGTACTTACAAATAATCATTTTTCACCGTCAACAGATAATCCAAGTTTTGTATTTTGAATTCCCGACCCCCTTCCATCTTTTTAAGATATCAAGTTTGCCCTTGGTCGGTTGTGCTGCAACGATGATACACGCTCAATGTTATAAAATTGTTACAGTGTAAGGGCCCTCAAACTAACTTCCGTCGGCATTTTTATTGAATTTCACTGCATTTTGTGTGGAAGACATCACGTTTATTGCAAAGAATTTAATGCTAACTTTCCGTCATGTACCTAGACCGTGCAATCAAGCTGCTCATTGAGTTGCTAAAGCAGCTGAAACCAATTCCCTTCCTTGTGACTGGTGTATCTGCCTGCCAGGGGAGCTTGGGGAAAGGGTTGTCAATTTTATCTATTAACACGAATTCAACCTTATACAAAACTTGAAAATAATACGATTAATCGACACGAGTAATAAATAGGTCACATTAAAATTCAACTCGAATTACACGATTAACGGATAATATAGGTAAAAAATAAGTATCTAACGAGTATTGTAAACAAAAAATAAGAAATTTATAATTTTTTAAAAATTTTTAAATAATATTATATGAGTTGTTGTGAAATTAAATAATTTTGTATTAACACAAATATTGACACGAACCCAACATGTACCATAAGTGAACCGATACAAAAATACACAATCAAAAATGATACGACACAACATAATTGACACCTCTAATTAGAGGCATTATACATATAGACAAAATTTGTAAATGAAAAGGTGCTTTTCCTACCGGCTCAAAAAAAAAAGTGTGGAGCTATGTAACAAATTTGACGAAAATTACAATGGAAGTTAGAGTGAGGAGCACATTATAACCATTTTATGACATTGAGGAAGTAATGTGAAAAAGATTAATAATAAAAAGTGTAAATTGAGAATTTTAAAATTTTTTTAAGTACAACGTGTGATTCGCCCAAGTTCTAATTAGACACATGATAGATGGGTGATAGTAGTCACGTGTCTTAAAATTGACGATTTTTTGTTATTAAAACTTCAAAAAAATAAAAATAAAAACGAAGAGAAAAAAAAATCCACAAAACGAGTGTGAGGAATAATTAGTTAACCTGAAAATAATATAATATAATAATACGAAATATATTTAGCTGCATGTATGAACAAGTTTTTTATTTGGTTTTTTGTTGGTTTTTTTTTTTGATGGGGGAATAGATGGACCGAAGTGCTACAAGAAGAATCCTAACCATATGCTTGTGGGTACCTATAACTAGCGAACAAGTCTTGCACAGTCGTGTTTTGATATGCACTCAAACTTCCCTGACAACCAACCCCCAGACCACTTCTCTCAGTTCACACTTTCCTCATCAACCATTTTTCAAGAAAACCCAAAGCCCTACATTCTCAAGAAATGCATTGCTCTCTTGCTAACATGTGCGTCCTCCAAATACAAACTCAAGCAAATCCATTCCTTCTCCATCAGACATGGTGTCCCCTTAAACAACCCCGACTTGGGCAAACACTTGATCTTCAAACTCGTATCCCTCTCAGCACCAATGTCATATGCCCACAATATATTTTTTCAAATCCAAAACCCAAATGTTTTCACTTGGAATACAATGATTAGAGGCTATGCTGAGAGTGAAAACCCAAGTCCGGCCATTGATATACACCAAGAAATGCATGGGAATTCCATCGAACCTGATACACATACATACCCGTTTCTTCTAAAAGCCATTGCTAAGCTAATGGCTGTTAGAGAGGGTGAGAAGATACATTGCATTACTTTAAGAAATGGGTTTGAGTCATTGAGTTTTGTGCAAAACACTTTGGTACATATGTATGGTGCTTGTGGCCATGCTGAAAGTGCATACAAGTTGTTTGAGTTAATGCCTGAGAGAAGTCTTGTGGCTTGGAATTCTGTGATTAATGGGTTTGCTGTTAATGGGAGGCCCAATGAGACTTTGACCCTGTACCGGAATATGGGTTTGGAGGGTGTTCAACCTGATGGGTTTACACTGGTTAGCTTGTTAACTGCTTGCGCTGAGCTTGGGGCGTTGGCATTGGGTAGGAGGGCACATGTGTACATGTTGAAGTTGGGATTGAATGAGAATTTGCATGCTGCCAATGCCCTTTTGGACCTGTATGCGAAGTGTGGAAACATTAGGGAGGCACAAAAGGTTTTTGATGAAATGGAGGACAGGAGTGTGGTGTCTTGGACTTCTTTGACTGTTGGATTGGCTGTCAATGGGTTTGGTAAGGAGGCACTTGAACTTTTCAGGGAGTTGGAGAGACAAGGGTTGGTTCCTACTGAAATCACTTTTGTTGGGGTATTGTATGCTTGTAGTCATTGTGGGATGGTGGATGAAGGGTTTGCTTACTTTGAAAGGATGAAAGAGGAATTTGGCATTGTGCCTAAGATTGAACATTATGGTTGCATGGTTGACTTGTTGGGTAGAGCAGGCTTGGTGAAACGAGCATATGAGTTTGTTCAGAGCATGCCATTGCAGCCAAATGCTGTGATTTGGAGGACCTTACTAGGAGCATGCACAATACATGGCCATTTGGCTCTAGGGGAGGTTGCAAGAGCTCAACTTCAAAGATTAGAGCCTAAGCATAGTGGGGATTTTGTTCTCCTTTCCAATCTCTATGCGTCTGAGAGACGTTGGCCAGATGTGCAAAATGTGAGAAGGACAATGCTGAACGAAGGGGTAAGAAAATTTCCAGGACATAGCCTTGTTGAGTTAGGGAATTGTATGTATGAATTTGTCATGGGAGATAGATCTCATACTCAAAGTGAGGATATATATGCAATGCTAGCAGAGATGACAAGATTGTTGAAATTGGAAGGTTATGTGCCTCATACATCAAATGTGCTTGCAGACATTGAGGAAGAGGAGAAGGAAACTGCTTTGACTTATCATAGTGAGAAGATTGCAATCGCATTCATGCTTATCAATACACCACCTGGGACCACAATCAGAGTTGTGAAGAACTTGAGGGTGTGTGCGGATTGCCACATTGCAATAAAACTCATATCGAAGGTTTTTGACCGAGAGATTGTCGTGAGAGATCGTAGTCGGTTTCACCATTTTAGAGATGGAACTTGTTCTTGTCGAGATTATTGGTAAATGTCAACGAATTTGGTATATTTTTGGATCAATTTATGTATTTTGCATTCTTCATTGTGCTGAGTTTGGAGTTTCTGTGGCAATTGATTGTGAGTTGACAAGTGATAGATAAAAAAGTGAGGAAGTTCGTCCACAATTTAAGATACAAAAGTTAGAATGTTGTCAAAATGCGAAGGGAATAAAAGTTGTTAGCTCACTTGTTGACCTCTCCTTAGCGTGTTGGATGCAAATATGTTTATGACAACATAGCAATTGGTTAATGTTAGCTGAGACGGATTCTAAATCCCAACACTTTGTTGATAGTTTTCAGCAGTAAATATCTCATCATCCTTGCTTTAGGAATGGGAAGGAGTTTAGAAAATCTCCTCAATGCATACTAAGTTACACATAATTCGGTAGTCCCTTTAAACTTAGATTTTGGGATCTGCAGTCAGCTAAGTTGAGTTGCCATTATGGTAGCTCTTGGTTAAGCAATAGGCTTTAAGCTCATTCCCCTCAATAAACTTTCCACTTGCTCTTTAGTCAAAACTTTTACAAGCAGATCTGCAACATTATCCATTGACTTCACATAGTCAATGGATAAAATACCATTAGAGAGCAATTGTTTAACAGTATTGTGTCTATGACATATGTGTCTAGACTTACCGTTACGCATACAATTATGTGTCATTCCAATCATAGATTGGCTATCACAGTGAACGCGTATTGCAGGCACATGTTTTGGCCAATTTAGAATGTCTTCTAAGAAGTTATGAAGCTATTTTGCTTCTTCTCTTGCTTTATCTAAGATAATGAACTCAAATTTCATTATAGATCTAGTAATAGAAGTTTGTTTTGAAGATTTCTAAGACATGGCTGCACTACCCAAGGTAAATACATATCCACTCGTGGATTTTGAATCTTTAGTATCAAATATCCAATTAGTATTAGTGTATTCCTCGAGTACTGCTAGGTACTTCGTGTAGTGCAATCCATAGTTTTGAGTATGTCTTAGATATCCCAAAACTCTAATAATTTCTTGCTAATGGTCTTTTCTGTGATTACTTGTATATCGAATTAACTTACTCACTGAGTATGCTATATCCAAACAGGTATAATTAATTATGTATATGAAACTACCAATTATACGTGTCCATTTTAACTGTGATATGTTATTTTCCTTATTCTTAAAAAAATGGATATCAACAACGACAGGTGTTTTCATAGGTTTTATCTCATACTTCTTGAACTTATCAAGTACTTTATTAATATAATGAGATTAAGATAACACAAGTCCTTCTAATGTTCTAGAAATTTTAATTTCTAATATAACGTCAGCAACACTTAGGTCTTTCTTTTCAAACATATTTGTCAACAACCGCTTGGTAGCTTTAATGACATTGTTGTTGCTACCTATAATTAGCATATCGTCTACATAAAAACTTAAAATAACGTATCCACTATGAATACTCCTAACATATACACATTTGTCACACTCATTTATTTTGAATGCATTTTTGTCAAAATTTTCATGTCATTGCTTCGATGCTTGTTTTAAACCATATAGATATTTAACAAGCTTGCAAACTTTCTTTTATTATCCATTAGCAATGAACCCCTCAAGTTATTTCATGTATATTTTTTCATCTAATTCACTATTTAAGAATGTTGTCTTTACATCTATTTGATATATTTCAAGACCATTTAAAGCAGCTATAGTAATTAACATCTGTATGAAAATAATTCTAGTAACTGGTGAATAAGTGTCAAAATAATCTACTACTTCCCTTTGTTTATGTCATTTGGCTATATGTGATGCCTCTAAAATCGAGGGTCCTTTGTCAACCCGTTGATCATTCATCAACCTACGAAAGTACCTGTGAATGTCTCATAACCTGACACTACATCAATAATATCCCTTTTACCGGGGTCATAAACGACACAACGTTTGAACAGAGTCTCCCTTGTACCGGACACTCTCAAACGCATAATCTGTATACTATTCAATCACATGACCCATCCTGGGTCTA